ACACACACACACACACACACACACACACACACACACACACACACACACACACACACACACACTGTCATCTCTTGTTCAGCTTGCGTTCTGAAAAACTCCCTTTCCCATCACTATTATCACTTCCAAGCCATTCTGACTAGGCTGGACTCCAACTGTGACTGATCATTAGGGGAATGTAGACCACAGCACTGGGGATCAATGGTCTTTGATGAACTGGGACGGACGGACAAATGAGGTACACCCCCTTTGTGTACAGATTATAAGGAGTGACAGCATGACACGGTGGGAAGAATGGGGATCGCTGTGGCATACTGGCTGAACATGTGGATGCAACAGCAGAACAATGTAGCCTAGTGCGGGTAAATTAGTATGAGATCAGGGAGAGGAAACAGTGAGATATGAGAGATAAGACAGAAACTGGTTTGGGAAGCCAATCTCCAGCTGCGTTTGATGTATCTGGGCTAACATTATTATCAGCTTCCAGCTAAGACACACATACTAACTCAAGGTTTCTTTCTTGTTTCTGAAATGTAAAAAGATTTCAAGCCAGAACATTATTTGTTTTGTTTCATATACCAGTTTAATAAGCAGCTTATTAGTGTGTTCACTGAATGCCCTATTCAGTGCCCATTATGAAATGTACCCTGGCTAACGTCAGGTGTTTTGTAATGAGGGGGCAGTGAGATTTGGGTAACTGGCATTCCCACGGAGTTATTACTGTGCCTAAATGAGCAATAACCTCAGTCATTAACTCAGTTTATGCATGCTGCTTTTTAACTGATCAGACACAGAAACACAGGCTCAGCTGTTACCTGCACACATGACTCTACCACCTATGTTACAGAATAACTGACAGAAACTCCTGAAATTCATAAAGTCAGAATAATAAGTCGCTTACTAACGGAGAGTTCCCAACACTAAGCTTCATTGTGAAATTGAGCATGAAAAGGAACATTTTGCCACAGTGAGAAAGAAATTTGTTATAATGGTTTAAACTTTGTAGCCTCCAACGCTACGGTAGTAAAACAAGCTGCTCATTCATTCTGGGGCATGTTGATGTAATCTAACCACTCTAAGCATAAACTCTGACAATTGATTATTGGATTCTTTTTTATTTTCAGAGGAATCTGGCAGAATTTTACCAAAGGTAAGGTTGCGGATTAATTACATAACAGACTTATGTTTTGTTCATTATATCCACAAAGGCTCTTACATTATCAAAAGAACAGAATAATCATTATCATCATTGGGGAAAAAACATCTGTGTCAGCTCAAACAAATAAACCTCCTTTTCGTGGTCAGCAATGTCCTAAAACTGTTAAAGATCTAACGACTTTAGACAAAAAAATTGAAATGAATTTGAATAAATGCAGCCAAATTCATCCCTAGTGTTGTTGCTGTCTAATAGTTGCTGACTATGTTCTTTTAACATTTTCCAGGCATAAGTGTCATATTTGAGAAATTGATCCCAATAGGCTCAGCTGCTCCAAACTTCTGTACTACGCTTGTTTGTTTTTTCCCAGTGCTAATTACTTACCCTAGAAAATATTTCATGTATGTATTTAGAGCAGTTTCCTTCTCAACAAGAACATACTACAGGAACTGAATATACAGCTACACATACCTGTTGCACATACCTGTCTTGAAGATGCCCTCCAAATGATAGATTCCTGTGTAATACACACTTGTCTTGCTTCAATTCACTGATGTGTAATCAGCAGAACAGGACTCTGTCTGCTCTCGGCTCTCACAATGCCTCAGAGCCCGGCTCTCCTCATTTGTGCACACCAACACCATCAGTCCAACAATTGTGCACGCCCACATTTGCATTTCATTCACCCACAATCACTAATACGTGGACAAATATGCATGAGAGTGTGCTCAAACACATGTGCTCCAGGCTTACTCTGCTGTCATGGATTTGAAAATATGTAGTAATAATCCTATTGGACTGGATTGGAGTTGCATCGCATTTAAGACAATAGTGTTAAGCTACTAGCTAACAAGAGTAGGCTTGGTTAGCCTTAGGAATAAATAGACTGTGCTCTGCAGAGACAGACATTTCATTCAGTTTATATAGTGCCAAATCACAACAAGAGTGGCCTCAAGGTAAAGATCCTACTAAAACTAATCTTTATCTTTCCATGAAGCCAGATGGCACACACCAATTTGTTAAACTGCAGGAATGACTTAAAGACTTTCATAGTGATTACATGCTGCGTGACCAAATTTCTGTGCATATTGAAGGTATTTCCTTTCTTTCAAAGTCAAAGTCAACTTTATTGTCAATTCTGCCACATGTACAGGACATACAGAGAATAGAAACTACGTTACTCTCAATCCCTAGATAAAATAGCAAATGAACATTTAAATATAAGAGTGATTAAAAAATGCAGGTAAAATAATTAAAAAGTAAAAATTTAAATAAATACAATACAATTTTACATATAACAAGAAAGCTATACAAGAAAGTTGTGCTGTGTTGGCTTCATTACTCCAAACAATATAAACCCATAGTTTACAGTCCCACAAACCAATAAAACCAAGTCCCTGTCCTAATGAGGACACACATACAATCTTTCTCTCAGTATTAAGGTATGAACACACAGCAAAGATGAAAACCATCTTTAGAAACATGAACAAGTATAAACAGAGGCTCCAGCCTGACTGCTCATCGCTGCGTTCGTCAGCTGCTGAAGTTCAGGGTGTGGCTGCTGGGCTGGGGTCAGCATTCACTGAGCTTTATTATCGCTCTGGATTCTTGGCTGGCTTAGCGTTAGCATGCTATCTGTGCAGATGCTTGCAAAGAGCTGAAGTTGTGTTAGGAGGATAATGCACATGTTTGTATTCTGGTTTTCACTTTATCATCGCACTCTGATCCGTGCATAGTAATAGGTCAGTTTAGCACAGGTTTCCACACAAACTGGCCAGAAAAAAAAACACTAGGTCGTGATGTATTAAAAGATTTTTATCCAGACCAAATAAGGTCATATTTTACTGTACGTCCAAAACTCTGAGGTTACTGGATTCAGCAATAGGAAATTTAATTGTGCATCAGTTTAACTTTTCATGAAAGAACATGAAGTGACAAGCTTGTTTTAGCACTTTGCAATCTTGACAACACTAGTATACCCTCTAGATGCTCTAAATCACTTTACCTTTAGAAATCTAAAAGGAGCAAGATATATTCTTACAAAAGCTTCAATTGAGAGTTAATAGGCAATAAATGCAAATACCAAGGTGTCCATAATAAAACAAATATTTAATCTACTCGCAACATCTCTCTCCAATGAAAAATATAACTGTTGTTTAAAGTATAACTTTTGATTAAGTTAAAAACATCCAGTCTGTAAGAAGAACTTACTAACACTGTAAGAGTAATTCTCTGAGTAACTGATTACAATGTGCCAGTGTCCTTTATGCCTTTTGAGCCACTGTCTCCTCAGCTTGAGGAGCTGCTGCTGTTGGTTGATTCTCAGGCTGCTCTGGACAAAGCTCCTTGGTAGGATCCATCACAACAGGCTCAGGCAATTGATAACACTTCAGCTGAGCTCTGAACTCTTCCAGCTCTTTCTGCTCCACCTCCCTCCTTCTGCTCAGCAGGTACAAGTCCGTAGAAATCCTCCTGCTTGATTTCACAAGCCACCTCATTACCACACAGTCTGGGCAGGACGTGTGGAGGAAATACATGCTGAGGCTGAAACGACTCTGCACATCAAAGGTAAAAGTGCTGCCTTCAACTGAGATGTTGTACCGCAGGTATTGGCATTGATCACCAAAGCGGTTGATCTGGGTATAAGACAATGTTGAAGCTTCGCTGGAGTTGGAGAAGTACATCGTGATGCTGTCTCGACGTCTCAGAGCCTCCATAGATGGTGAGTGATTGAGACTGCCTGCGACTAGAGCCCAGCTGCCCTCGAAATGATGAGGAACCAGCTGATCCAGTGGGTGAACCAATCTTTCACAGACTAGAGGAGCTGCCTGGCTCCCACACATCAAATAAATGAGAGTGACTGCACACACAGCAACCAAGCTGTTTCTTGAAGGTTTTCCCATTCTGTGGTTAAATGTTTGCCTTTTATTCTCCAACCTTTCATTTATTTTATTTTCTCACCAAGACTGGAATTCAATTAGCAGGCTTGTCTTTTTATAACAAAAACCTGCATCAAAAAAATCCACCTTTTCAACACAGGATAGGTTCATTATCTGTTATCTAAATGTGGATTCCATTATTGTGACATCAAAGACATTTTGAAATAGTGGAAATTTTTGTGATTCTTATCCACATTAAATTGAATTTTGAGTGGCTATTTATCTTGGAACATCATGTCCAGACTTGAACTTTGTCTTTGTTTGCTGTAGATATTGAGCTGAGGCTAAACATTAAAAGCAATACACGCCAGACTGTCGGTGCTGACGAACTCTTTCACCAATTTTAAAATTCTATAAATACACATTAACAGCAGCAATGCATGCAATCATTGGTTGAAACTTAAGATAAAAAGGGCACAACTGTTGGCACTGAACTGAAAGTTTTTTGTTTTTTTTAGTAAAATCGTCCTTTCTGTCTTCACCGTTGCAGAAGATTTTAGAAACACATGTGTGAGCAGCACATATTCAAATGACACTTTAAATATTGCATATATTTTTGTTGTTATCACAGTAAATCTTGTCTACCAAAATCTGAATGTTCCACTTCTTCTTGGTGGTTGTTGTTTTACATTTATTATTAACTAGATTATTGTGATGAACAGTGTTTTAATTATTGCACCATGCTAATGAATGAACAAATGCACCAGATGGAGAAGATGTTTATTAACAGGATGTACTGTAGGAAGTACTGACGTTGGTGATCACTTCATTAATTTGACAGTAGTGCAAGAGGCACAAATTGTTACCAACAAAGTTAAATATTATATCCTCTGCTCATGTCTGTGACTTGCATGTGATCAAATCAATTTTTTTTTCTATTTTTAGAAATATTACATATTGCCACACAAAAAGTTTGGTTAAAAATCAGATGGTTTCAGTGTAGCTGAACAGATTGGGCAGACGATCGATAGCCATAAGGCTATTGCAGAGACCTGGTTTTAAATCTGCCTGAGGCTATTTACTGCATGCCTTCCCCTGCTCTCTCTCCCAGCTTTCCTGTCTTATTTTCTTTGCCTTTTCTAAATCAAAGTTAAAAAGCTCCTTCAAAGATTATTCAAACACTTGGAGTAGATTTAACTTTTCTTTTCAGCAGAGGCCATTAGAGACTCTAATATGCTCATGTAATACGTCACGTTTTTGTCACTGGTTCAGTCTTAACCATGCAGCATGTGAGGGATTCTCAGATCTTCATGATGTTAAAATGTTTTTGACGTTAAAACTTAAGAAGAAGGAGAAATTTCCAAAAGTCCGATAAGTATACAAATACAATGTTAATTCAATAGCCCCAAAATGTACAAGTATATGTTTTAAGTACAAGCATAAAATACCATTTGACGAAAGTTAGGTAAAGTAGAAATACCTCAACACTATACTTATAGAGCCTAAGTAAATACATCTGACATGAAAATAACTATGATTATTAAACTAGTTTGTAATAGTTTGACATGCTTACTTCAACTTGTAGCCTGTTAGCTTAGCTTAGCTTAAGAGGCAGGGCCAGTTAGCTTAACTCTGTCCAAAGGTTACAAATCCACATAACAGCTCTTCTCGAGCTTATTATATTTCTACTTGGTTGAATCTGCAATGCAACTTTAAAAACAGCAACAGTTTGAATGAAGTTGGAATGATCTGATTACTTATTAGCAGGTATTAATATATAGAGTCTTTGTCAGTTGGGTAGAAACAAAACCCCAGCCACATAATCCCAATTTAAACACTTATTTTTTAAAACATATCATTTTTTTTGTACAGATTTGATTAACAAACTAAGTTACTTATTATTCTGGTTTGCACAGTTCCTTATTAAGCTACTAAACAGAGCTATGCTAGCTAGTGGGTTTCTTCTGTTTTTTTCATGCTGAGCTGTACTACTGTTTCATATTTATATAGTTTAGTTTAGTTTTAGTTTTAGTTTTTTTGAAAGGCAATGGAGATTATATTGTGCCGTGGAGGTTAGTACGGTGGCCCTGAGAGGCCAAATGGACTGCAACTTAAGAAAACACCAGCAATAAGAAAAATGCTGCAAAAGCACACAAAGCACAATGGAAATGTTTTAGGGGATCAGTTGCAGGAACCAAAATATGCTAAGAATTGCGCTGGGAGACACTTAAAAGAAGTGGAGGATTTGTGGGGAAAGAAAAGATGAGAGGCAAGTGTGCTAGCCTAACTATTAGCCTAAAAATCTGTCATCAGTATTGTATGAATCATGATCAAACACACCTACCATGTTTTGGGTTCCTGCAACTGGTCTGTCAGGTTATTGTCTCCCCAGAAACACTTCCTTTGTGCTTTTGGAAATCAATTTTTTCCTATTTCCGTTTTTTTCCCTTCCTATTTCCCTTGTGTTTTGTGTGCTTTTGCAGCGTTTTTCTTATTGCTGGTGTTTTCTTAAGTTGCAGTCTATTTGGCCTCTCAGGGTCACCGTACTATGAAGCTCTCAATACCGCCAATCTAAATAACAACTGTTGCATAAAGCCTGTATTTAAATTAGTAAAAAAAAAAAAAAGATACAGGAAAAAATTACATAGAGCAAGCAATTAATGAGGTTATACTATGGTGAGTATCCATCATCTGTCCATATGTCTTGACCCATGATGCGTTCACTATCAAGGTCACATATGTTGTTTTACCAATAACCTGTGAAGTTATTGAAAAGAAGAAATTGTGAAATGTTGATTGTAGTGAGATTGATGTCTGTCTGTCAATGTGTATGATTAAGTGAAGTCCAA